TGGTTGTAATACTGGTGATCAGCTGATCAGATCTGATCCAAGCAATTAAATCAGTAAAATATCATGAGTCATCAGACTCAAATTAGTTGAGTTTTATTAATTTCAATTCTAATAATATAAACAGTCAGTAATTTCTTTTTCCAAAAAAATATTTATCTTTTACTATCAAATTGCTCGTTTTTACTCAATACTAAGAAAAATACATTAAAATATTTAAAAATTTTATCTAAAAATCCATAAAAATAGGAGTTTTCGATTCGAACCAGGGGATGGTCCGATTTGGAATCATTGGTTCCAAATCGGACCGGAAAAAGCGTTTTTATATTTTCCATTACAGTTCAACACAGGTGAGAGATACGTCAAAATAGTCTAAAGCAAAAATGAAGGGAATTAAATGATCTTTCCAATGGCAACTTCGATTTTACGATCGGACTTTATTTACGCTTTATAGAGAGCAAAAACTGCAAATAGGTTAGGTTCTGTAATAGTAGGGGAGAGTGGTCCGATTTAGACCACTCTCCCCTACTATTACAGTACAGTATTAGAGTACTATTACAGTACGGGATTACAATATTATAACAGTACCCAGAATTAGTACATATATTGTAGCTAATATCGATATTGATTTTTAGTACCGTAACAGAAACAATACTATAACAAAAATCGTTACTGATTCATAATATATTGCAACAGTACCAAATATTAATACTAATTTTTTATATTATAACAGTACTAATACTGTATAAAAAGTCCGTACCATTTTTCTATATCGCAAAAGCCGTATTGGCAATTAAAAAAAGTTACAGCTTCAGCTTTAACTCCAAACGGAGAAGGCAGAAGTGACGATGCCCGTATTTCATAATTATATGTCGTAAACATATTTTTCACATTTTTTCGACGAATCTGCGTGAACATTTTCATTCATTTCCACCATAAAAGGTATAAAAGAGGAAGAATTTCGTCGATTATGAAAATGATGATGAAGCGGCGCATAAAGTCGGTACGGAGAAAGGATTGTAACGACAGTAACAGGGGTAAGAAACAACAAAGAAAGTGCTCCCGACTCTCAGGTCAAAAAACGCCTCATAAAGGGATAAACGTCACACAGGATTCGTGTTTAATGGCGCGTAAACTACGATATACCTCCGTCTGCAGGTATATGGGCGGCATAGACGCGTGTGAGCACGCATATGGAAGGCTTAGGATGTGACCCTTCCGATTTCATCGTCATCGTTGTCGCTATCGAGGCTTGTAAGTTGATATTTGGAGCAGGTACGGCGAGTCGATCGACTTCATTAACGCACCGATGCCAAGCAAATATTGACTCTATCCACAGAAACTGGGGTACGAGGTACCGCATGTTTACACTGTTGGCTCCCCCATGACCCCCTTTTCTTCTTGAGTTCTTACTCTTCTCTTTTTTTCACTTGTTCACTGCGTGCATTGCACCATGAACTGCGATCCACCGAAATTAACGACATCGGTGACTAAATTGAAAGAATCACGCCAATTGTTTTTTTCTCTCGTCGTCGCATCGATGCACGTATTGACCACTGACTGCGTTCAACAGAATGTTTATTTTCCAACTGTAGGAAGTTTTCTTCGCTAAAATAGAATTGTTCTCATACATATAACAAAAGCTTGCAATAACGTTGCTGCAACGTTAATGCAATATTGCTGGAATATTGCAATATTGTTGAAATTTTTCTAAATTTAAAAGTATAATCGAATCAACACAAAAAAAACTTCGAACAGTTGCAAGATAAACATTCTGCTGAAAGCGACCATTGATTGAAATGTTCTCTGATATTGTACGAATTTGTATGCGAGACGAACCGGCAGGGTCGAGCAGATATTTCGAAGTCAACGCAACTTCGCGTACAAAGAAATCGATCCGTCGCAATAATATAAATTAACCTTGGCCCACATTAATCTCCATGGACTATCTACCGATAACAGTTACAACGTGATTTTTCGTAAAATCAATAGGATCAGCCACGTAAATGGTACGGTTTACCAGTTACGGCGCAACGCACCATCCACCGCGAAGATCTGACTTATGCTCTCTCTGTGATTTATTGCAAATCACGGCACATACACCGCTTGCTTCTCGAAGGCATACTGTTCCCCTCGGTTATTAGGGCGATGGAATTTTTTACACTACGCTTGCAATTGCTCCACCTCCGACGTTTGCATCTCGGCCTTTACCTCTCGCGTCTCGACCTTTCGCGCTTATTGTTTTCTTCGTGTTCCCGACGTGCATCTTGCGCCGTTCCTATATCTGTTCGTTCGAGAGCACGCGCGATCCGGTGGCTCCGTTATATGTATACTTTGCTCTATTTGGTTTTGTATTAGGTTTCTCGTTGCTCGAACTCTTAAACCCACTTAGAATCGAGTCTCGAACTCAAATACGTTAGAAATGTCGGGAAATAGTCGGTCGAGATCTTCACACCGAATGTTTTCAGTACGAACATTTTAAAAAGATTATTACAAAAGCGCATTATTTAAATCCTATCATATATTTGAATTACCTTGCTTAAACAGTATACTTTAGAAATATTATACTTTTGTGTGTGTGTGTGTGTGTGTGTGTGTGTGTGTGTGTGTGTGTGTGTGTGTGTGTGTGACGTGTGCGTGTGCGTGTGCGTATGCGCGCGCGCGCGCGCTCATTTTACATATGACGTTATTTATATTAATTTAGTTTGTTACGAATGTTTTAAAATTTAAATCTATTATATAAAGAAGAATATACGAGTCAAGATATGGTTCTTAAAAAATGGCATTGCAATTAGCATCGAAATTGGCACAGCATGCGGACGTTAAAATCATCAGCTGATTAATAGATCGTTCTTATGATTGTCATAAACAAAATTTGGCTGATCAAGAGAGCAGATAGAAAAGAGAGGAAGAATTCTTTGCTTCATCAACGAACGCACAACGAGCGAAGAAGGAAGGTTAGCGGGTGTTAAGCAACTGCGTCGTGAAAAAATTTAAAACCTTAATGAACCTGCGAACCGATTCTTCCTCTCCTCTTTTTTTCCAATTCGGTCTTTTTCCATTTTATAGTCTGTCTTCGTCGGTAAATGCGAGTGAGACAGCCAATTTTCTTCAAAGGCGCAATTACAAACATTCGGCAACACGCGCGAGATCGTGTCGTATCGGCCTAATTACCATCACTTCGAATTCTCGTTAAACTAGTTTTTTCATCCATTCAACAGCATTCTTTCAAGGAACTTTATTTTTCGAATTGAATACACCAACTTAAACGACTACCGGTCACAGTTATATTTTTAAATCAACGAATCCGCAGGTGATCTCCGTCCCAAAACGACTCACCAGTGTTCACGGCGACAAATGCAGTTAATTTTTTGCGTGCACTCTTAACGTATCATTTGACGTGCGCAGCTTGTCACAATATAGTGTCAAGAGATGCTTATAAAAAATACAAACCAAGAATCAGAAACGTAAACTTTTCACAGTGGCTATTTTGGATAAAATTTCCCATTTTTTTCCCATTTTTACTTTCTCTATATGTGTCTTTTGCGAATTGTAAACCTGTATTTTGCACTCATTATCGAAAAGAAAGAGGACACGGTGGTGACTAAATTATAATTTCATCGTTTTTAGCTATGCCAAAAACTAAATCATGTATATATCTCTCTCAAATACAACGGTATACAACTTTATAAAGTTATGAGTCATAAACTTCTGGTTTCTCCAATTTTTCTATTAATTTAGAATCAGAAATTTTTATACCGCAATGATCGAAATACTCGCACGACGAACATCGACCATAACATTCTTATCGGATCATCAATGGTCTAATTTTATTCCAGTTTATTCGAAAAATAGGTTCCTCGCTCCAACACAGTCGAGGCAGATGGCACCGTTTGCCGAGATAACGCTGATTTATGACACGCCAGTAGGTTAAAACGAGTTTCGATTCGAGTGTTACGAGAGAAGGTGGGGAAACGTAGATTCAGGAAAGAAGAGAACCTAATGATTTTACAGATATCCATTTCATGCCCATAGGCGAAGATCTAATCGACCCAAAAAATACCGAATCTCTACCGAAAGATATACACAAAATACTCTTGTATGAACGTGATATATCATTGTGAATTTACGTTGTGCTTTATGTAGTGTAGTTTATAGATGTAATAGATATAGACGGCACATTCTCTGATCTTAACTTTTGTGCTCCGTTAGAAAGAGAGAAAGAGATATGCTTCACTCGTTATATCGATAACGACAACTTCATAGGAATACACAGTCTATTCTTATTATGTATGGTGTAATCTAAAAATACTTAGGCGACTTCACCGACAGAATAAAAACAACCGAAATCAATAGATGTGACTCAGGATATTTTCTCCATATTATCACCGTTAACATACCCACTTAATCGAAACTTCAACATATTTCCAATTACTGTTCTCGTACTCCAAATCCTGTTCGAACATCCGTAAGATATCGTGGGAGGAATAAAAATCGAAGCGAACGTTGAAAACCGGTTCGTCGCCCCACCATCTCGTAACACCGCACTTTATTCTTCCAAGGATGAGCCGAAGTAACTGACTCTGATCTAACTGACTATATCTCGTTCGAATAACTTCTATAATTTCTATAATTGCAGATGAACCAACAGTGCAGGGTATGCGACGAGCCCGCAGCGGGGTTTCATTTCGGAGCGTTCACATGCGAGGGTTGTAAGGTAAGAAGAATCAGATAATGATGAAGTTTTGTAAATAATGAGATTGCCAGATATAAATCCCGATTACATTTCGCGTACGCGGACTTTGTAATGTAACGCCGAGAATTCACACGACGACATCTCGTCATACACTTCGTTCATTGTCGAGTCGCATGTTATGTAACATTTGTGATGCAAATTCTACACTTTAAAGAATAACACAAACCTAATTACGAAGTCGAACGTGACAGTTTCCGTCACGTTTTTAAGGAATAACTAAATAATTTTATCTTCACATGACGCGAAATAACTCGAACTTCGCAATACATGGTTAAAAGAAAATCAGTAAAGGATTAAATAAATGATTTAAAAGATAAAGAAATACCTATGCGACAAAATATATTTATATAAGTATATAACTTAACCCGTGAAAACGGGTTTCCGAAAAATATCAGACAAGACTTTTCTACTTTCTAAACAACTCTGAAAACATAAGTTATTTAGACTTTACAGTAGCAATACTCTTTCAGAAACATTAGTTATTTAGGTCTTACGATAACAATTCTCTTTCGATCATCTGTTCTATAAAAACAGATAAATACAATAAAAGTTTAGTCAGAGAGAAAAATATACGAAGTACATAAGGGACGATAATACAATAATTCAATAGTAAAAAAAACTATTATCGCGCGCATGCATGATGTTTTGTACGAAATTTAAATGTTTTAGATTATAAATTAATAAAGAGAGAGAGAGAGAGATTGTGTATGAAACAAATTAAGGAGGGATATACAGTCAAAAAGATGACTATTTTTACAAATTTTTGTGAAACTATTAATTTTTTAATAGTATCCTGGTAGAAATGTATGCAGTTTTCCTAGACATCTATTCAGTTACTATCTAATATTACTGTATTCGCATTAATTGTGCCAATACTGAGTAGAAAATGGACAAGAACTTGATAGAGTCTTTATTCTGATTAGAGATTAGAGATTTTATTCTGTCCATTTCACGAGCAGTTGGCTTGCTTATTAATCAATTTAAGATCCATTGTTATGTTTCTATGCAGTAAATGGATCCAGATTTTAGGCAACTTTTGTATGCAGTAACTGCAAACAAAGCGTTACATCCTGACTGGGATCCTAAGTAGTTTTCCTTCTCAGTTACTAGACAGAAGTTGGTGTAACTGTTTAGTAACTGCTAAAAAAATGAATGAAATTTCTACCAGAGTATTTTTACCAATATTTTATATTAATGAGTATTACATAAAATTTTTGTATTAAAAATATTAACAAATAGCACCAACAGAACTGTTGACGCCAAGCTCCGTAGAATTCAGTTTATCTGAAACAAAAAATTCACTCAGATCTATGTTCCCCTCCCTTTTTTTTGTAATATTTAATTTCTATCATTAACGAAAAAATAATGTAATATTACACACACAAAATTCAGAAAGAAAATAAATATAGATTTCGAAAACGTACTATTTTGAGAAGAAATATAATAAAGTGAGACGGTGATTTATTACCGATTCGTCTTCGGAAAGACAATCGTCGGCAAAAAGCGGACGGAAGTAGTTTCTACGGTATTAACCTGCTGCGAAGACTTCGTGAAGTCGTAAAAATCGATACACCGGGAATGAGTTGACGTATGCGATGCGTGCACGCGTTTCGCACTCTAGTTTAAAGAAGAAGCAACTCAAATAAGCCGTGACAAATGCGAAAACGAAAAGATTGCTGTGGTAGGGATCCTCGTGGTAATCACGGTCAACGAAAAGAGGTGAGAAAGTCCGATATGTGAAAAGGCGAGCACACGAGAAGTAACTGAAAAAAAAACTTCTGCGGTTCGAATCCGTAAGTGGACGAGAGACTTGAGCGCGACCAATCGATTATCTTGGATCGTCCCCGTTCGACCAAGCTTTGCGTTGCGGTGAATCGCGATGAGTGTTCTGGAAATAACGACGTATGGGTTGATAACATATCTCGAAAATGCACCGCTGTGTGTTTACCTCCACCGTAACAATCACATAGTAAAAGATGATTCAATTTTTCTTTAGCACTTAATTCTGTCCTGTTACACTGCAGCAACAATTTGAAGACCTTACGACGACATTACCAAACAAATTCTTCGGAAAATCATCTTGAAGGAACCGACATGTCCGTTTCTCTGAGACAAATATAGGATACGCGTAGAAGCGGAAAGTTACGAAAGAAGGGATCTTGTCTCGATCGCGGTTTACTTCCGCGTGTCGAACGCGAGGGTCGACACAGTAGGGAGTAATATTCAACAGGTGGATTCCGGGTTGTGCACGTGCATCGGAATGCGTACGCCTATAGTGCGCAAGCACGCATATTGTACCGACAAACTACGACGGCGACAACGACGACGATCGAATCTCGTTAGACCGCGCTTTAGGTCTTCGAGGGATGTTGACCCTTGGCTCTCGTCCTTTCATCCCACTAATGTGTGCTATACACCGTAGAATATCAGTACTGCATACTAAGTGACCCATCCGATAGTAATTGGACCTCATTAAGGCAACAACGGGTAATGGTTACTGCGGCTCGCGCGCTCGGTTTCCCGGAGACGGAGTAGCAGATAACGCCTTTTAGGTCAATTAGACTCTCCTCTTGAACGAAAATAAACTGGGAGACTCTAGGAAGGAGAAGATATCGCCTATGCCAGGATCTGAAATAAAAGAGGCGGTTGAGTGTCTCAATTAAATTTGTCAAAAATCTATCGTGGGTTGTTTCTTGTAACATTTTTAAATAATGGTATCGAAATTAACCTCAATTTGTATCACAATAAGAAAGGTTTTATTACATAGAATTAATAAACCTTTGAACGATATGAAACCAACTCTTATGCGTATACGTTTTGTCTTATTTCCGTTACATTTACGATCGCTGGTCATCGATTTGCGATGTAGTCATTATCATTCATATGTAAGTGAAATTAATTTAAGTGCTCTGTTTCGCATGTTTAATTAATGATCGTGGATGGCCCGATATGATTGTACGAAATGCAATACCGTCCGAGAAATTAATATCACCATCATATCGCGTACGTCATTTTAGTTGTATGACTATATACCAGCGAGACACCATGTGGATGCTCTCACAGAGTTTCGATGCTATCGCGAGAAATATAACGGCGTCATCATCGTGGTCCTGATATGGAAAGAACAGAAGAAGGATGAGAAGGAAGACGGCACGAAAATGTAGCAGCGAGAATTATGCGCATGCATATTAACACGCAACAAGCATCACAAGTGCACACCAAAGTCTGGTTTTTCATTTTCTGATTAAATTGTGGTTAGACTTAATCTGATGATAATATAAATTTGTATTTTTTTCTGGCTATGGTCAATTATTTTTAAAGTTACCATTACAAAGCCATCAGTTTAACGTTAATCATAGCTAGAAAACACAATTTTTACGTCATTATCAATTAAGGTTACGTCTAAATCACAAGTTAACCAGGAAATTAAAAACCGGTTCTTAGTTCTATAATCTTCAGTTTCTAGCTTAAGGTTTCAAGTCAAAGTTTTTAGTCTCTTCGCGGAACGAACGTTTGGAAATATTTGAAATAATTTAACGGTTAGGTCGTTGCGCACCGCGGTCACGGACGGAGAAACGATCGAGGGACATTCATTAGCATACTAACGACTGCCTCGAATTCTCTGCGTAACATCGAGAAGAGGGCGATCTTTCCCGTTCCCTTCTGTTTTCTTCGCGCACGACGACGATAGCAAAGCAAACGATGACGACGACTATAGGTCCATTTCACTCTACACTCCAGATCTTTCCAGTTTCTTCCTATTTTTAGTATCATGAAAGGAACGTGCACGTGTTCTGCACTTATAAAAGATTGAAAATACATATAATATCCTCCAAAACATATCAAGAGTAAATCGATTATTGACTGAGCGATATCAATATCTTCTGCAATTATAAGAATAAGATGTTCTTTTGCCAATTCATGTCGAGGAACAAAATAAATTTGAAGGCAATGAAACGAATCTAGTGTCAACATGTGGTAAGTTAAATAAATGCAAACGTCAGGCATAGAAGGCTTTTGCTTCTTTTAAGTAAGAGAATACCGCGGCTAATTGCGCCATAATGTAAATGACTCGTGCGTGGACGATGCGTCCCTGTTTCACGCCTTGATTTCTCGGAGTATATCGACAAAATTTCACATTTGTCGTTCTGAACGCGCTCAAATAAAGGAGAGTCAGGTCGTTTGAAGGCCGAGCGTGAAGCAGAGCCGCAGGCAGGATCGCCAAAAGACACCAATTCGTTGTGACGCGTCGCATATGAATGCGAGCGAGTGGCTTAACTTCTTCCTCTCTCGTTCCTCTCGTTCAGCTTCGTTGTTCAGTCAGCCCCGGTGCACTAATTTGCAGAATCTCGTTCGCTTGTTAAGAGAATCGTGCGCCGGAAGGCGACCGAGATTCAGGTCAGGCGTCGCGTTTATTTATGATGCAAATGCCATTGTTTTTCAGGGCCTCAACGGCCTGCGCATTATGCGCGACCGACATCGTAAAAATTCTTTAACGCCTCTCGCCTTGCTCCTCTCCCTCTCTTCGATCGAAAAAATGGCGCATGATTCAGGGGACACGTTTATTCATCGTTCGACAATGAGGACCCGTCCGAAAAGTCGAAAGCACGACGACGACGACTGATCGAGGACAGTTGAGGCACAAAAGCGTCATTCCTGTGACCAAAAGTAGTCTGGACTACTTTCCAGGCGAAGGAGTCACCACATTAAACTCCGATTTTTTACGATCTCAGTCGGGTATACGCCAAGTTTCCGGCGACGTCGAGAATCCGAAAAGACACTTAGGCGAGTAACAATGATTTCCGGCAAGTGATACACGATCGAACGGCGGAAAAGGATAAGACGGTTCAAAGAGTCGACAATGCACGTACAGTGCATAGAAATTGTCCTTCGAATGTTTAAGCACTGCGTATCATAACGATTCGTAATATTCATTTGGATAATCTAACGATTATACACTT